ATCGTCAGAAGGAAAGTTGATAAAATAAATTAAAAATTTTGTATTGTTCGATACATATGCGTACCGAACCGAAAGCACTGTATCGAACGGTTCAAGAGCTCGAGAACATGTGGAGGGTGAAGGTCATGGTGGTCCCAGTGGTAATCGGAGCACTAGGTGCAGTGACTCCCAAGCTAGGTGAGTGGCTCCAGCAGATCCCGGGAACAATAGCGGAGATCTCTGTCCAGAAGAGCGCAGTCCTAGGAACAGCTAAGATACTGCACAGGACCCTCAAGCTCCCAGGCCTCTGGTAGAGGACCCAAGCTTAAAGGATTGACTATATCTATACACACATATATATCTATACACACATATATATCTATACACACATATATATCTATACACACACACACACACACACACACAGACACACACACACACACACACATAAATAAATAAATGACAAACATGGTCTAAAATGTTCTAAAAGGTAATAATAATTATATCCAAAGGAAACAAGAAAAATATGCATGATATTATAAGAAGTATTTTGGTAAAATGTGGAAACGATCTCTTGGTTCCCCAGTTTTAAACTGTTATACTGAATCCTCACATTTAGTACAGGGCAATAGATGTACATGTGTAAAACTGGTGTCAATCTTCTCTCTACTTCAAGCAAGAAAGCAAAAAAATAAAGATATTAAGCTATTCTTTGAATTCACTTTACAGACTGACTTAAGCTACCAGTTTAACTTTGAAGTTGAATCTTCTGTGGTATAAACGTTCAAGCATTTTGTTCCTGTCAGACAAAATTTGGTTTTGCTAAAAGTTTTTAAAAGTGTGGGTATATGAGCAAATACCTGCAGCAGAAGGATGAAATAGTCCACTGGGTGGTTGCGGGTGTAAAGATAGTGTGCTGGGCTCAGACGGTTGTTAGGGTCAAAGTGCACTTCCTGGTTGACACTGGGGTGACGGAGCAGGTGGAACAGGACCTTCTCAGATACACGTGCTGGGCTGAAGTGTTCCACTTCTACAGAGGCCAAAGGTCAAATAGGACAAGTGAACTCATTGTCTGGACAATAATGAAATGCATTTACACAAGTTTAAGGCACTTGACGATTTCCGTTTTCCTTCTACCTTTACCATTTTGCAGTTTACAGTTTTTTCTGTTTTACCAAATCAAGCAGTACATTAGCTCAAGCATGCCACAAAGTCAAGCTAGGACAAATCACTTGATTTTAAAGTCATGCCTCACCATCTATGGATTTAGATGGTAAACCTAATGACAGGTATTCCTTTAAAGTTATCCTGCAGCTTTAGGCAGGCTATCTGCAAACTTTGCAACCCATATCCACCTCAGCTCCTCTCTGTCATACTGGACTGACTCAAAATGTGTCATATTTGTTGTTGATTATGAATCGGTCCTATGATGAGGCAGCATTTACGAGGAAGTGTGTGATTTCTTCCTTGTGCCTTCCACGTAATGTTTATTAATAGATGGAAATATTGTTTTAACCATGTCATATTTTGGGTTAACAATAGATTCTATTCTTTCACATCATGGGACCTACAGTGACTGCAACCGCACCTCCCATAGAAAGTCAATGGATAATTTGAAATGACCTGTCAGGTGGACACTTCCCTAAAGGGGCCCCAGAGCTTTTACCCCAAGTACTTTTTTCTGTATGGTGTTTGTACTTTTACTTAAGTATAGGATCTGAACACTTTTCTCTACCACTGGACGCAATGAAATTTGTTGAATATTGGCTGTAAATGGACTGGTTCTTATATAGCGCTTTTCTACTCTGAGCACTCAAAGTGCTTTACACAACAATAAAGTGGTGTTACTAGCCGTGACCAGTCGAGGCTCAATTCTTTGAATGCTTCAGTAGCTTTTGCCAAAGACATCAATACTGGACCTTAGGTCCAGAGTTGAGTCATGATATACAAGCCTGTTTTCAGACAGAGGAAAGATAAAGGTGAGAACTAATTAATCTACTATTAGTTGTTAGGGTCACTCTAATCATTTTTGCTGTGCTTACCAAGGCAATAATAATATGAGGAAGGGTTATGACTTAAACGTAGTCATGACTCATATGCAGCGTAGCTTCATGTTTAAAGGGAGTTCTTCCTTCCCATCGACTCAAGGAGCCGCTTACAGGGAATAGTCTATGATTGTTGGTGTTTGCTCAATAATACTGTAGTCTTGACCTTACAATCTAAAGTGGTTTGAAATGACTGGTTGTGAACTGACACTATTTGAATAACTGAAATAAGTAGTCTGGAAGGTTTCCTCTAGCATCTTTAAGTACACTGGCTGAACATTTTATTAGGTACACCTGTTCAGCTACTTAAACACAAATGTCTAGTCAGCTTTTTACATTACACCAACTCAACACATTTAAGCATGTTCACATGATCAAGATGACTTGTACAGTAAAAACAGAGCATCCGAATCGAGAAGAAAACTAAATTAAGTGACTTTGAATAGTTGTTGGTGCCAAATAGGCTGGGCTGGATATTTCAGAAACTGCAGCTATACTGTGTTTTTCCTCTCACAATCACCTCTAAGGTTCACAGAGAATTGTTCGAAAACAAGAAATGTCCAAATGGAAGCGTTTTTTTGGGTGATAAGACCATGTTGATGACAGAGCAAAATGGTCAGACTACCTCAAGTTAATAATAAAACAACAGTAACTCAAATAAGCACTCAATGGAACAAAGGTATGCAGAAGAGCATGTCTGAATGCACAACACATCAAACTTTCAAGCAGACGGGCTGCACCAGGAAAAGAGCACAGCGGGTGCCATGACGATAAGTTGGCCATACTCAAATAGCTGCCACAATTACCAGATCTTTTGAGGATCACAGATGTGCAGTGGACAAATCAAATGGTAACATGTCAACATTAATCAAAACCTCTTAAAAAATGTTTACAAACCTTGGTGAATCTGCCATGAAGACTGAGGATTTGAAGCTGTTATAGCTGCAAAGGCTGAGCCCACATCATTTTAAACCCTCTGGCTTAGAATGGGATGTCACACAGTTGATAATGGTGTGAAGGCAGACGAGTGAATGCTTTTGTCAATACAGTGTATATTGGTGGGGTCACTGCATTAAACTTTCTAAAATTAGTTAGACATTACTTGACTATGCACCACTTTCTAGACAGCTGTGACACTGCACGTATTGCTAAATAATAGAGTCGGAGCCCCAAAGCTTTTTAAAGTTGTTGTTTTTTGTAATGTCAAAAAGCTAGTGTAGTGTAACTATGGTGTAACCTAACCTCTGCATTAATACAATCTGAGAAGCAAAATCCTTTAAAGGGTGAACATGTTTTGGGAAAATGGGAAAAATGGGCAACCCCCATCATCAACTGATACCTATTTTAACAAGTATTTGGGTAAATAAAGAGCAGAGGCCCATTTCAAATTTAAATATGAATAAGTGGCAATGTGAACCATGGTTTTTGTCTTACAAAATTGAGAAAACAGTCAAATGTAAAACTATTACATTTTATTCTCCATAGTACAGTATGAGAGAAATATGGAAACAAGCAAATTAGCTTCATTGAGTCAATAAGCATGATAAATGATCCAGGGTTAACTCTCTGGAAAAAGGAAACTAGTTTGCAGAAAGCGAAATCTGGGTCAACAAATTTGGACAAAGACACATTAAACCTGCTGTTGAGAACATACACTTTGTGCCTTTTACAGACAAAAAGATATTTCAGATTTATACAGTGGAATATTTCGTAATAGGACAGCCTATCCAAATGAATCCTACACTCCACTCACGCTATGCGGTTTATCTGGACATCACGCACATTTATCCACACACAGACTCCAGCAATTCCTAACACAAGATTTTACACAACCTACACAATGTGGTCATTTGGTTATTAGATCATACTCCAACCTTATGGTACAATGCTGGTTATTATTAAAATGAACTGCTGTAGCCAAGTCAGTAAGGATATCATTAGCAAGCCTTTCACTGTCATGTGCATATTTTTGTAATTGCGGAATTTGTCCCTGTTAGTAAATTTGGTGTTGTTGATGTTGATTCATGCTGAAGACATTGTGCAGAAAATTATTGCTGCTGTTTTCCTTTTCTTTTCTTTGAGATGTTTGACCTAAAACTTTACTTTGTTGTTCTGACATTTAAATACAAACACATCTTTACACATTATACATTTACACATTTCCTGTAAGGGAAAATGTCAAAGTCAGAGACTGGTCTCAACTCCCCTTTAACCAGTTACTGCTTGGTTGACCAGGTCCGTGGCATAATCATTACATGTGCTGTGTTAAACTGTGACTATTTTATTCATGTGCTAGCTTCGATCAGTAGAGATTTACAGATAAACACACATAATCACATACCTCTGGACAGGAAGCGGTGTGTGGCTAGCAGGAGTTGTGGTGAAGTTCGGATCTTGGGTTCTCCTTCAGGAGGCTTGAAAAGAGAAAACTCCTCATGGGTGCTGCGAGGCTCCAGAGGAATCTCCAGTGGAGTGAGGGGACGCTTTACTTTCCTGTCTACTGCAAGGGGAGTCAATAATAACAATAAATAACAATAAAAGAAGCAAAGAAGCCAATATTCCAAAAGACACTCACAGTAGCCATCAGATTCATCCAGGATCTCTGACTTGATGATCTCCTCTATGACATCTTCTAAAGTGACCAAACCCAGCACCTCATAGAAAGGATCTCCCTCTCCCTCATTGTTCACCTTCTGGACGATGGCCATGTGAGAGTTGCCTGATTAAAGGATAAAGGTTAATGGCAAATTATAGTGAGGAAAAAGGTACTTGGAGTAAAAAGAGTAACTCTGAATTATAAAGGAGACATAACAGGAAGGAGGGCTACAAAGTCATAACTCACACGAGTGATTTTCTTTAGATTCAGTGTGATAAAGTTACTGTTTAAGTCGTTTCCAGTACAAACTTCTTAGAAATCACAGAAATAAGCATCTATTAAATTCACAACATGCCAGTGATATTCTGTGTGGACTACATTAGTCAGGACAGGCCTGCACTAATTTAGAGTTGGCAGTATAGCAGTTCTGGCACCTCTTTATCTTCTATAGAAAAATCAAATTAAAGTTCAGGGCAGGCGTCAATGATGATAAATATTTAATTAATGAAGTCAGATACAGTACAAAAAGCAGGATCTTGGGTTGAGATGGGTTGTAAGGCAGTTTACAGATGCATAACAGACACACTGAAGCCACTCAAATAGTGCCCTATATGAGATTTACTAATAAAATGTGTAAAACGGAATCAGTTGAATCATCATCATCATCAGCTAATCTGAAGTGGGATTAGCTGGCATTCTCTGCTATTCTCAAGATTGTCTGTACAAGCATATTCTTTTGCAATAAGAGCTACCAACAGCTAATTGTACTTTAGTATACATTTGTTAAAGGTCAATAAAAATATAAAATATATAGGATACTCTGGCTTTATTTATTTACCTTATTTATATCACTTCTCAAAAGGATGACATTATATACTTATCTATCAAGGCTTATTAGCTTCAGGATCACAGCAGTCAGCCTGGTTCTGCCTCTGTCTCTTGTTGTTGAAAGGGGGCCAACTCATAAGGGACTGTCTAACTGTTTCGAGTTTCTCTCTCTAATACTTTAAAGATTTGATCAAAGCATGTATCAGGCGTCATGAGACTTTTAATAATTCAGGATATGAGCAAAATGAAAGCTCCAAAATAAAAATAAATGTAAATAAAAAAGGTGAAAAGCTTGCAGCATGGCAACTCTATAATTTTCTATGATTCCAACCATTCCCACAAATCAAACAGCAGCCAACCTTTTTTGAATTCCTCCAACATGGCATCTAGTTTGGTATCATTGAACACAAAGTGCAGAGGGTGATTGTAGAACTTGGTGATAGTCGTCATTGGGGTGCAGTCTTCTGGATCAACCAGAGCCAAGTCTTTCACATAAAGGATTTCCACAATGTTAGACCTGAAGGAAATCAAACAAAGGCTTATGATTGGTATGAATATGTGAATAACTCCCAAAGACCTTTCCATTGCACTCTTATGGCTACCATTATATTCATTCTTTGGTAAAAATGTTGAAGTTATAAAAGGCCTGGACACACATACTCTGGTTATTATTAAGAATATAAGAATATAATAGACATTTTTAAATGAGTGAATCCAAGGATTTACATTTATTCAACGTTATACCAAGAAGCCTAATTCAAAGCTGCCAATTCTACAGATACTCTGTTCAGATGAGGCGAATGCTGCCATGTCAAGTTTTTAAGCCATGTTTTTGTTAAGCTATTAAGTGAGTGTTGTGTTGCTGATCCCACCTCTCTTCCTCATAAATGGGCACACGGGTGTAACCACTCTGCATGATCTCAGACATAGTGGAGAAGTCTAGGACAGCTGAGCTAGGCAGCATGAAGCAGTCTTTCAGAGGTGTCAAGATGTCCTCCACGGTCTTAATGCGCAATGTCCCACGACTGAACTCCTCCTTTACAAACTCACTACAAACATAATGAAGAAAACTGAGTCAACAATCAAGTCAATTATCAAATCTTCTAGGCCAATCTTTAAGAACCAACTTCAAGTCAGGTCTCAAATCCTACAAATTTAATGCAGATTAGTCCTAAAAAGTCTATTGAACCAAGTTCAAGTCGAGTCTTAAATCTTTTGAAAATGAGTCTGAGTCCAGTCTCAATACTTAATCTGTCTAAGGTGTTAATACAGTTAGACCAATACACACAAACTGAGTCTTGAGACTTAATCTAGTTCAAGCATCAAATTTTTACAGTGTTAGGCCAGATCATGTTTCAAATCATTACAAGGCTACTATGGGGTCAAATGTGAAGTCTGTTAAAAAAAACAACAAAAAAAAAACAAATCTAAATTTCAAAATACTCTCAAGACTTTCAGATCACGTGTGAGTCAAGTTTCAGGTCTTTCATGGGCAAGTGTTAAGAAGAATATAACAATTGTGAAGTCAATTGTGAAGTCTTTAAAAAGAAGTCCACCCTCAGAATAATCTCAAATCTCAACTAGAATATCAAGTGTTTGGAGATCTAAACAAAGACAACTCCTAAAAGTCAAGTCTTTCGGGTTCAAGTTACATTTCAAGTTTCTACGAATGATGTTCCTGTTAGTCATTGGTTATGCAAACAGTACAAGAAAGCACTGGCCAAAATCACACCAAATGCTTCTGTTAAAGTAAACTGGGATGTCTGGCATTAATCATGAATCAAAGCATCTTAATGTGTCAGACATTTTAATCAAATATTAAACTCAAACTTAGCAAAAAGAGTCTGTGTCTGGAACACTAAATTGTTCCTGTATGTCAGTGAATCTAACATAATTTACCATAAGAATTATGCACTGTAGAGTATGACAGAACACACTTTTTGTTGGTTATGTCCTATAGTATCTTTTTTTCTAGTTCTGTTTACTCTGTATGTTCAGAAGCATCATGTGTTTTTTTCTTTCTTAAAAAACAAACAAACAAACAAACAAACAAACAGATCAGGGGGGTTTTTTAAAACCAAGTGTCAATACTCATCGCACCTCTATGTCAGATCTCTGTGATACTCTCCCAAGTCCACTATATTTACCTGTAAGGATCATTCACGTTTGCCCGTACCATCTCCATGGCCCTCTCCCTTATCCCACAGGTACTGATGTCTCTCCTCAGCCCCAGATCCAGAATCAGGCCCAGAGGGCAAGACAGGGGGCAGGTAAGCACCATGCAAACCTGGGCCAGCCAGGTCAGACCAGGCGCCAGCTGGAAGCCGTAACCTGAGCACAAGATGTGAGGAGCCAGCTCAGCTAGGAAGAAGATAAGGAAGCCGCTGTTGAACACAGCAGAGACGATGGAGCCCAGTGCCCGGTACAGGAGCACACCGAGGACAGAGTGCCCCAGAGCACACAGGAACAACAAAGAACATGCCTGCGGTGGAAAAGACATGCGTTTAGAAAACACTACTTCATTTGCACCTTTCTTTCCCTGTGGCTTCCCCACGTGCTTTTAGAAACTCACCATGAAGTTCCCCCTTCTCCTGATCGGCTCCAGCCGTTTGGCGGCTCGTTTCTCCTCCTCTGATCCACAGCTGTGTAGGACATAAAGCTCGACTGGGTCCAGCCACAAAAGGCTCAAGTTCACCGTCCTCAGCAATCCGCAGATCATAAGCACAAGCACTATCAGTACGGCCAGACCCCACGGCGGGATGTAGTCTGCTGGCAGATCCGTGTCAGTGTTTATTCGCAGTCTGTCCAGGCCCGCAGATGTCCATGTCTCTCCACTCCGCACACACAGGTGGTAGTAGGTCTGCTCGTTGCCAGCTTCCCCCTCAGAGGTGCTAACCTCCACAGTTAGAAGCACGCTGTGCGCATCGTCGAGTTCTAAATTGGTCACCTTTAACTTGGAGTCCTGGCGGTTGGACTGCTCCTCGCAAGGGTCCGGTGTATCACCGACAGCCCCAGCCGCTCCGCCAGCTGCCCCTGCGAACGCGACCCACGGCAAGCTTCCATTCAGATTAAACCCGAAGACACGGAGCTTAAACGTGGCTCCTTTTGGTGCTGAAATGATACGACCCTTCATGCACAGCGGATCCACTGGTTCTTCCAGCCGCAGCCCCAAAACCTGCGGAGCTTTCTGGCTGCAGGCGCCGTACCTGATTCCGCAGAACAACACTACCATCAACAGGAACCGTAGACCTGCTAGGCTGGCCACCATATTGGAATTGGTCAGTTTGGCTTTGCCTAGATCACGTGACTTTAGCCCCGCAGCGGCCCCGCCCCCCGGAGGGTTGAGCCAATGAAGCAAAACAAACAGCGCAACTGAGCTGCACGGCGGCCATTACGGTTCCACACGCGCGCGCACAGGCCTCATCCGCGAGTGTGGATCTGTCGTACATGTTGCGGTTTTTTATTGCGTCACATCCCTTTCAAGAAGAGCCGAGTGCATCCGGTAGTGAATTTAAAACCACGACAGACTCTGGCTCCCATTTTCTGTCACAATTCAAAACGTATCACTTTAGGCCTCTTTACTTGCTGTTAAACTAATACAGCTGTCAGTACTGGGAGAAAATGTCACAGGCTGTTTGGACTTTTTTTTAGGCGGGCGGACGACCATGATGAGACCAAATTGAAGCAAAACTGAAAACATTAACATAGGACCAGTGTTGGTCAAGTTACTTGAAAAAAGTAATCAGTAACTAATTACCGATTACTTCCCCCCAAAAAGTAATCCCGTTACTTTACTGATTACTTATTTCCAAAAGTAATTAGTTGCTTAGTTACTTTTAAAAAACACGATTTACAACCTGAACAGGTGATAAAGCAATAGATCTTTCAGCCCAATTCTACTTTTTCTGCATAATCCATCATACAAAATGTAATCAAATGGAAAAGTCTCTTTTAAAAACTTGTTTTATTAGTTTTAACCTTTTAACTTTATGCATCAAGCAAAAACATAATTATATGCAACATTCTCCGACTGGAAGAAATTTGTTTAACATTTAAACTTATTTTCTGCACATTCCAGCACATAAAATATATATATATTTTTTTGTGTTTACACTCACTCTTTCAGATAGATGCAAAATTATTTGAAAGAGTTATTATTTATTTTCTGCTGTGCAAAACACAGCAGAAAATAAATAAAATCAAAGACTAGCAGTCCTTTTGCTCTATTTTCACCTGTAAAGCAGGAGTGGCGTAGGCGGAGGTTTGCCCTGGTGCAGGTGTGCCGCAGCGGTCAGTTGAAGAATCTGCGAGTTTCTCTGTGAGTTTCCCATCACGTGGTAGCGCACTCCCGGTGCTTGCTTGGAAGTTTAGGGTTTTTTTTCGCTGTAAAAAGTTTTCTTCCGATGCACAATGAATGCTAATGTTTTTGTCACTTTTTATGTAATCAAACTCAAAGTAAGGCCAGTACTTCCACGCTTTAGACGCTGCACGCTCATACTCTCTCCTGCACTCGATCCATTGTTGATCTGCACACAGCTGTTGTCAAGAATGTCGCACTCGCTTATGTCACTGTCATGAGACATTCTCGCAAAAAAATCATGGTTTTAGTAACGCAGTAACTCAGCATTCCTACGGGAAAGTAACAGTTATATAATTACCGTTTTTGCAATAGTAATCCCTTACTTTACTCGTTACCTGAAAAAAGTAATCAGATTACAGTAACGCGTTACAAGTAACGCAGTAACGCGTTACAAGTAACGCAGTAACGTTACTGGGCAGTAACGTTACTGGGCAGTAACGCGCATAGGACAAGAACTACCAAAGTAAATCAGGAAACATGAGACAGTTCTCAAAGACGCAGACTAGGGAGGGAACACGAAGCACAAAAACAAATGTAACTGGACGTGGAACATAGTTTTTGTCCTTATGTCATCAAATGACACCTGGAGAAGAGAGACACGTATGTGAGAATGCTGTTTGTAGATTACAGCTCAGCATTCAATACCATCGTTCCCTCGAAGCTGGACAGGAAACTGCAGGATCTAGGACTGAGCAGCCCCTTCTGCAGCTGGATCCTTAGCTTCCTGTCTGACAGACGCCAAGTGGTCAGACTGGGCAGCATCACCTCATCCCCCATCACACTGAACACTGGTGCTCCACAGGGGTGTGTACTGAGCCCTCTCCTATACTCACTCTACACCTACGACTGCACAGCCACTAACAACTCCAACATCATTGTGAAGTTTGCGGACGACACTACAGTGGTGGGTCTTATCACCAATGGTGATGAGACGGCTTACAGGGAGGAGGTCAGCGCCCTGACCCACTGGTGTCAAGTCAACCATCTCACCCTCAACGTTGCAAGACAAAGGAGTTGATAGTGGACTTCCGGAGGTGCAGAGAAGTACACACCCCCATCACCATCAACGGCGCTGCTGTGGAGAGAGTGAGCAGCTTCCGGTTCCTTGGTGTACATCTGACTGAGGATCTTACGTGGTCAGTACACACAAACAAAACAGTGAAGAAGGCGCAGCAGCGCCTCTTCTTTCTCAGGAGACTGAAAAGATTCGGCATGAGCCCCCGCATCCTCAGGACCTTCTATCACTGTGCCATTGAGAGCATCCTCACTGGATGCATCAGCACCTGGTATGGCAACAGCACCGCCTACAACTGCAAAGCTCTCCAGCGAGTAGTGCGGTGCTCTGAACGGATAATTGGAGGTGAGCTTCCCTCCCTCCAAGACATCTACAGGAAGCGCTGCCTGAGGAAAGCGGGGTGGATCATCAAGGACTCCAGTCACCCCAGCCATAAACTGTTCAGACTACTTCCATCAGGAAGGAGGTTCTGCAGCATCCGGTCCCGTACCAGCAAACTGAGAGACAGCTTTTTCCATCAGGCCATCAGACTGCTGAACACTTCATAGACACCTCAGCTTCACTACTGGAACTTCAACATTATGCACTCCATACTGTACAGTAATGCCACTGTTTTGCACATGTCTCAACTCTGTATATTTTTATATATTGTTTACTCTATTTAACTTGTAAAATATGTGTGTACACACACACACACACGTAGAAAAATATTTAGTATACACATCCAGGAATGCATATACTATTATATATTGTACATATATTTATTAGTTTCAGATGTAGCCATTCTTGTATTTTGCTTGTTTACGTTATTGTATTTGCACAACTCTGTTGCTTGTGAAGCTCGCACACAAGAATTTCACTCACATGTACTGTACCAATGTACCTGCACATGTGATGTGACAATAAAAGTGATTTGATTTGATTTGATTAGAGATTACCAGGTATAAAATCACCACTTACTAACCAATCAGATCTCCAGAAAGTGGTGTGACCACTGGAAGATTCCTTGGACTTCTCCCGGAAAAGCAAAGCGATCAGTAGTGTCTGAAGTCTTTGTATTTCCTCGATGGTACTATGCAGAGAGCATCAGGTGCAGCTTTACTGCTTGATTTTTTTCTGTAGAAAGCAGTTTTTCAACAGTATTGTTATTCTATAGACGCCAATATATTCTAACATAGGACAGAATCCTTGCTGAACTTATAAAATCAAACAAATCAAAATCATACATAGATTAAGCTTATGTTATTAAATGTAATCGTCTTTTTAATTCAACAGCATTAACTCCGCAACTGGAAGAATAAAAATAAAACGTTTGGGACTACATTATGTTATGTCTGGAAGTGCCATGTTTTACTGATCGTAGCAACTAGCAACGTGCTAGTGCTTTATAGAATATTAGTACATACAGTGCTACACACAGCCCATTGGTTTATTTTCATTACCGACACTGGATTGCCCAATCAAATCTCTCAGGGCAACTGGTCTCTCCCGTACCTTCGCTGTGCCCTTACGCATCTTGTAAAACTGAGTTTAGTGTGGAAGAAGTGGCGAAAATGTGGAGCTAAAACGCTGAAAGAGAAATAGAAACTAAAAATAAATGCAGGAAAACGTGTCAAATTAACCGACATGTAGAATATCTGCTGCATCGTGAACTATATTACCAGTAACAACTAGAAACCAGGCCTCACAGAGCGACAGAGGAAGGTGTAATCAACGTGGTAACCAAATTGATAGAGGGACTCAAGGATTCAGGTAAAATGCATGGATGCTTTGATCATGAGCCACACCTAATAGTTAAAGTGTAGCTTTTTAGTGTCATATGCTGCAGGGCAGTGAAACTATAAGCCAACCAACAACTGGACCAATTACAAAGAAAGTCTCTCAATATCAATGAATTATGTACATAATCAACATAGATTTATTTTTGATGCATTTTTGTGAGTGATCATGATTGGTCGCCTGGACCAAAAATGCCAGGCCCGATTTATTTTTGCCAGACTAGTCCTGCGCTGAGGAGATAGATTTTATGTGTGTAGGTTTGCCGTACCTGAAACCACTGAAGTGCAAACTCTGCATTGCAGTGCTACGGTAATGTCTGCATTTTAATTTGATCATTTAGAAAATGTCATTATGCTCGATTCCAATCTCCTGCTGCTGGGACTGTATCTACTAGAATACAGGATTCCCACCAAGAATACCTATTAAATCAATCAAATTAATTCCACTTTGATCTACAACAAACTAAAGCTATTTCCATGTCTCCTTTATTAGACAATAAGTTCAGGGTTGCAAGCATAGCTGGACTGGCCATCAGGCATACTTGCCTGGTGGGCCGATGGTGATTTTTCGTTTTTATGGGCCTATGATTTTTTGTTGTTGTAACGGCATAAACAATGAAAGGTGGTGGATTGGCCAGATGCTGGCCGATGTGTAAAAATAACTCAGTTGTTTGGTGGTGGCTATGGCGGAGCTTCCACAGATTCAGTAACATTAGCAAGTGGTGGAGGCCAGCAGGTGGATGATGGAAAGGTGAGGCAGGAGGAGGAGAGACCCGAGGCGGTCCGAGTGTCAGGTGAACTGAACTTCAGGTAAGAAGTTATGACCTGCAGTCTATCTGAGTCAGATATAAACCAAGTTTAGGTGTAATTTATTTCCGTTATGCTGACTTTTTACCATCAGTTACAATAACTCGTACTGCGTGCTAGCTAGCATGACGGAGTTTCTACACAGCTGGGTGGGTGCACTCAGAAAAATAAAGGTGCCAACTGGAACCAAAAGTGGTCCTTTAAACTGATGCCATAGAAGAACCTTTTTGGTGCCACAAAGAACCTTTCAAACAATGGTTCTTTGAAGAACCATCAAGAAATGGTTCTTTGGAGCACCTTTAATGGTTTTTCTGGCATGGCTGGCGGAGTGAGCCGTGTGGTGTGGA